AGTGAGAGAAATCCACAAGAGACCCTACAGACTCCATTATATCCAGAAAAATCCACCGTTTGGTGCGGTTTACACGCTGTGGTGGGCATCATTGGACCTTACTTCTTCAAAAATGAAGCCGGAGGTCGTGTTACAGTCAATGGAGATTGTTACCGCACCATGATCAATGATTTTTTGTTTGAAAATATGGATGACATTGATCCGGACGAGATGTGGTTTAAACAGGATGGCGCTACGTGCCATACGGCGACGGCAACCATCGACTTATTGAAATCAAAATTTAACGATAAGTTGATTTCGAGAAATGGACCTGCCAATTGGCCTCCAAGGTCGTGTGATTTAACACCTCTCGATTATTTCCTGTGGGGCCACGTGAAGTCACTGGTTTATGCTGATAAACCAGCAACAATTGACGCCTTGGAGGCCAACATTATTCGTGTTATCTGTGACCGTATGGGCCAGCAGTGCTCGAAAAAGTGGCCCAAAATTGGACGTCCAGAATGCGCTTCGTCAAGAACAGCCGCGGTGGCCATATGCCGGAAATCATTTTCAAATGTTAATGCCATGTATTGATCTTTCGAATGAATAAAACAATTTGATTAAAATTACATTTTTTGTGTTATTTTTTACAATTTCAAGTTCTATCGGGCTTAAAAAAACACCCTTTATGTATGTATGTATGTATGTATGTGTGTATGTATGTATATATATATATATATGTACATATGCATACATATTTAAATAGCTGTTTGGCTAAGTGACTGCAGGGTTGCACAACATATCGTTTTGTGTGTTAGGCGCTTCTCGCAATGTATACATGTATACACGTATATGTACATTACATATTACTTACTGTTCATTTTTCTTTACCTATTTATATTTCATATTTATGTACGTATATTTATAATTTATTTCTTTATGGCGCTGGTAGAACAATAATTATGCACATAACGTTGTAATAAGGTATTGCTATGATTAGACGTATTGACGCATTAGGATAGGTTTAAAAATGTTTGTAACAACAACAAGAGATGTTAACAGAGCAGGGACCCTCGAATTATATGATTCTGCAGGAATTAATACTGTTCGCGTATCCTTGTTTCCATTGGTTCGTTGTACGAGTCTTATATGTACTTTCTTCGTTTGATCGTTGAACGTTTCACGCGTGCCAGTTGCGCGCTCACGACAACGTTAGAAAACTTATTCGTTGATCGATCGTTTACTTACTTAACTCGAAACTAAATCTACCGTTCTCGTCTAACGGGTAGTATAAAATGCTAAGCGATCCTACGGATATCGGGAGCCCTATTCCTATCGGATGACACAGACCACGGAATACGTACTTGGAACAAGTGACACGCGTTTTAGTACACGGTTTATCGATTAAGAAGTCGCTTCTTAGATTTCGGATCTCGTACGCATTTCTTAATCCCTGCGAAATGAGCTACAAACGATCCACAACTTTCTTCGTGCATTCGAGTGCAAATAGAAAACTACAAATACGGAAGATTTAGAAAAATATATGTATATCGTCGTCGGTATAGAGAACCTCTAGAGCTACTAAGTGCGAAATAATGGTTATTAAAACGAGTGAAAATTAATGGAACTGCACAATCAACAGAATTACTGGAAAAACAACCGATATCTCCAGTATTTACTCTTATTAATCGCAGGTACGCGGACGTATTGACTCGACGAAGACAAGATGTATTGCGTAGGAAGAAGGAGGATGCATCCTTAAGACTTGCCTACTACTAGATCGTCACTATTTAAGCTAAACGTATATCGTAAGTACTGTTGATATCATTATCAGACTGTTTCAGGACGTTGCGTACATGTTCGCCCGTGTATCTTTACTTACTGCTGACCTCTCTTTCTCTCCCCCCCCTCTCTCTCTCTCTCTCTCTGTGTGTGTATGTTGTGTGTGTGTGTGTGTGTGTGTGTCACGTGGTAGTTAATAGGTCACGATATAAAATCTATGATTACAACAATTAACAATTAATATTTACCGGTCAACATTGATGAAGGAACGCGTTGTCGTGCCGTCTATTTTAGAACGGATACTTGACGATTATTGTACATACATGTTAAGAGATAATTCCGACTTTCGATTGCTCGTCGTTCGAAAATTGGTGAACGACAGATATGAGAAAAAGGACGGGAAAATAGATCTGTTAAATTTCCAAGAATCTCCTGCATCGTATATTGACTTACTTTGATTTACGAGCTACGCGTATTAAGGGCACCCGAGAATTGATCGCAGTTACTCTAACTTGTTCTAGTCTAAATCTACATCGTAACACGAATTATTAACTGTAACATTATTATTGACTAACTGCACCAATTTCCGAACAAACAGTTCCGACGGCAAATAGCCAACTTTAGGAAAAAATAGTTGGAACAACGTGACAAACGAAAGGCAAGAAGAACATGTTCGTGCTTTCAACGTGTGTACTTCAATCGTTCAAGATGAACGTTACTAAGAAAGGTTGCGAAGAAACGCGTCGATCATTCGATAAACGTAAAAACCTAAGCTAAGCTTTTGCTCTTTACCCTATTTATACATATGTACGCATAATGTATGTATGTATGTATGTAAGTATGTTTGTATACGACGAGGGAAGTATGCCCCGTGAACGTATTCATATGTACATGTACTTGCATGCACGGAACACGGAACGCACATGTACGCTAAAGCGTCTGCGCGATCCTTGCGATACCATGACGGATCACATTTTCGACTGTCGTTGTTTTACTTGGACCAACATCATACATACGTGTATAGTTTAAACACAATTTCTCGATAATGATTTATGTAATCTCTCATGCACATTCGACAATCGAAAATTTCCTTTTGTCCGGCGATCCGCCGTATACATACATATGCATATGTATATCTTCGTCACCAGGATGGATTGATTAGTTGTTTTGCGATTCCTTCCACGGTAGCTAAGTGACACGATCGACTAGCCGTGCAATCACCGTGCTACATTCTCATTCACAATATCTAGAGATATATTCAACTCCGAGCGGATCTCAAGGAACGCGCAGCGTAACGCTATAGATACTTTCATCGGATAAGGCTGCGTAAATTATTGTCTTTTTCGTTACCGTTCGTACAACATTCATCTCTTACTCGCTTCGCCTTGCACTTTTCCGAACCGTCGCAAATATGTATATTTCTTCAACATTTTTTCACCTTTATCCGAACTCGATGCAAACAACGATTTGCTTGCTCGTGTATCCGTTTTTATACATATAATAAGAGGATTTACAATATATGTATGTATATACATATATCCCCCGTGTTTGCGGGATGAAGTCGTACGATTTACCAAGATTTCACAGATTTGTATCTTATCTGCTACATATAGTACATATCCACTCCTTCTCGTTTCCTTTCTTCGTTCTTGTTCTCATTCATGATTCTTCGTCCATCCTCTCGATTCCCCGGAATCGTTATCTCTTTCTTCGAATAATATTCTTGCGCCCGAAACCAAACGGCAATCGGCATTTTCATTTTTAAAGCTTTCAATCGTTTGTTCGGGTGATCGTTAATAAATGAAAAAGGAAAAGTAAACGAAAGATACTTCGTTTTCGATTCCTACAAAATTCACCCGAATCTAATAGAAAATTCGTGAACGCGACTAAATTCCTCGATACCTCCTGCACTACATGCTACACACGGTTTTACAGTCTTCTCCGAAATAGACCGAAATTCTGCCCGAAGAAAGAAATTTCTTTCAATAATTAATCGAATTGTGAGCGTGATCGACAAAAAAAACACAAGTTATAATACTTTCATATGTAAGATTTTCAGGTATAATCGTCTCGCGAGTGAAAAAACGTTTGTTTGTTGGTCAGACGTTTGTGAATCCGTCGATGGTAATGGTGCTTTATTTTAACGGGTGTCACTTTGCCAAAAGAAAAAAAGAAAGGAACATGTTGAACCGAACAGAAAAAAAAACAAAACGGTTACACAAGTTGCAAAGTGTGAATATAATCACGCGATTGATATATTGCTATAAGCTTTCAAGTATTATTCGCCCCAACACCTGAATGAACTCTTGGAATTCCACCACGAATCTTGAAAATCCTCGAAATCTGTTCGATTTGTCGGGTGGCCCTATCTTTTGATCGCTATCGATTCTAGATTGGTTATTACTCGACGATCGTCCGTCCTATAATACCTAATACTGATAAATGTATTGTCCATTTACATGGTAAGTTGAGGAAAATCACGCCAACAATCGGATCTCGTGATCCATTCCTACAGCTTTCTTTTTCATAGTGTTCCACGCGTCTCTTTCGCGAAAGAAAACTCGGTTATTTGACATGTTACTTTCGTCTGTACTAGCCACGAAACGTTTTTCGCGGAGATACCGCGTTCGTCGCTGGGAATGTAATCGTGTGTCAGCAGCAAATCGGAATACCAACTCGATGGAAGTAAATCGACTGTATGTAGAAAACTATTTAGTTGCTAGAGTCTTTGTTCCGGAGAATCTCTAAACAATGCGATCCTTCTCGAGAACGACTAAATCAAACGAAAACTACCCCAAAAAGGATATTATAGCCGTGTGCAATCTCAATTCCGTGGCAAAATGGAACACGTGCCCCCTTCCTGCCCCCACTTCCAACATTGCACTCTTCGCTTTCGGCCGTGCGTTTCTTTGTTTTTCTTCCTCTGTTTCTTCTTCTTCTTGCTCTTCCAATTAGTTTCATTTTCAATGGATTCCAGCGCAGAACAACAACAGAACGGGAAATGGAAGAGAAAGGAAGAGAGGCGTGAAGGAAACGAAAATACAGGAACGAGAAGAAGCAGAAGAAGAAGAAAAAGAAGAAGATGAAGATGAAGATGAAGAAGATGAAGAAGAAAAAGAATGCTCACGAGTTCATCGGTTGTTGACACGACGGAATCGTTGAACGGTCCACTATCTCGTGGTTTTTTCCAGCAAATAGCATAGGGTCATGTCTACTGACGTAAGGCCCGCCTCGGACCGTGTTGCTTTAAAACGAGCTAAAACATACCGGGGGATTCATTTCACCGAACACGTTCAACTCGTACAGCGAGGCGAACACGATGAACACCAAGTACCAAAGCATCAGTACCACTCCGTATCGTCGGTCCAGCTTCCAGCCGTTCATATGGGTTGCTAGTACCAAAAATACCACCGTCGACAGCAGAGACACCGTTGAGTACGTTAAGCCTGCACACCGTAATAACAAGAAAGAGAAAGGCAGATAGATAGACAGATAGACGTATAAACAAACAGACAAACCCACATATACAGACGTACACACGCACGCTGGCATAGAACGGGATAATATGTAGATAGCGCTGATGGGAGTCTGTACTCGAAAGGACAGAGAAGGTCGTTAGGGGGTGATGATTTTGGAAATAGAGAAAAATTCAGGGGAAAAGACTGATTCATGTTGAGAAAGAAATAAACAAAGAGAGAGAGAGAGAGAGAGAGAGAGAGAGAGAGAGAGAGAGAGAGAGAGAGAGAGAAGGGGAACGCGATTAGATTATCGTTTCAACAATATTGGTCGTTCGATGACGTTAATTTTCGTGGCAAGTACAGAAAGGGCGAAACGAAACCGCGAGTCTGGGTTAGAGAATACGATTTACGGTGGTTCGGCGTGAGCTTACCTCGGCTGGTGACGTTTACATGGGAACCAGGCTGTATCATAGCTGTTTGTATGAACCACGGAAGCCCAAGGCAAACTAGGATATCGAAGACGTTACTACCAACGGCGTTGCTCACCGCCATGTCACCGAGGCCTTCTTTGATTACCGCCAACGAGGAGAGAGCGTCCGGTACGCTCACGCCGGCAGCGACAAAAGTCAGACCCATCACCGTGTCCGGTATACCGAGAGTGCTGCCTGTCGAACAAAACCTCAAGTTGACGCCGATCATTTCGCGTACACATACATATGTACATCGAATGTAGCTATCACAGTCTTCTCGTCCTTTGGGGAACGACTCACCTATGATCGTAATCATCCAAACCATGATATAACTGTAGAAACTGATCCACACCATCGACACGCAGAAAGTGAACGGATACCAGTTTCGGAACTTTTCCTGTCGACAATCGGGCATCGTCGCACGACACATGAAATGTATGGGATACACGAGTCCCCATGTAAACAAGGTCCATTTACTGGCGTCAAGGGGCTTTTCCAACGGCGAGGCTTCGTTAGGATCGGGCTCTTTCGCTTTGTAGTACTCTGGTTGCTTCGGAACCGGTGGATCGTTCGTTTCGGAAACAGGACCTCCTAATCCTCCTGCAAAGCCAAGAAATAGTTATTTCATTTCGTTTCGATACGTTTCTCTATGAATCACTTCCCGCTGTTGTGTCGTGTCGTATCGTATCGCTCGAATACCTTCTTGAATTTTATGTTGATCCGTGACAGGCGAATTCGGACCAGTATAAGACAGTCGATCCTCTTGCAACGATCTGTAACTGACGAGCGCGCTTTCCTCCGCTGGCTCATCGTCTTTCGGTAGGAAGGGTATATCGTAAGATTTCGCCCATCGTTCTAATCTGCTGTTAAAAGACAACGCGACGCAGTATACCGCGTACATGATCAGCATGAACAGGGACTCCATCCTGAAATTACATATCTCTTTCGCGTAAAAATATTCTGATTCACACATTCGGCGAACAAGCCAGAACGGACATCTTACCAAGATATTGATTCGTTGTAAATTGTACCAAGCATCACGAGTATCGACACCGCATAGAAAAAACAATCCCGGCACAGAGGCCACCAATTCAGCTTGGACACTGTTGTGGTGCACAGCCCACAAACCGATATCACGAACATTATATTGAACACCGCGCTTCCGATGACACCGCTCACCTGTAAACGTTTCCCAATAGTAAACGGAATGCTTGTAATCGTTACTCTGGAGCGTCCATAGTTTACATTCTACACTCTACACTCTACTTACTCCGATGTCATCTTTTGCAAAGAAAACTCCGATTACGACGGTCGCCAGTTCCGGTGCCGACGAGCCGGCGGCCATGAAAGTTGCACCGGCAACGTCCGGAGACAATCGTAGCTCTACGCGCAAAATCAATTAGATGCACCTGTATGTAGAAATGCTCAACGAGCCGTTCCTCGTTAAATATTCTAAATGCATTATTGATCATTCTGGCAAAGTACAGAGCTCGGTTCATTTTCGAACCGAGTTCAAGCCTATCGAACGGCCTATTCTCACCTTCGCAAATCCTGTCCAAACTGGAGACAAAGTAATCGTCACAGACGATCGCGAGACCCAAAAACGTATAAACAGCAACCAAAATGTGTATAATCAATCCACCGTGCTTCCTAGCGTTCGGTCCCATCAGCGGTCTTGGAAATTGCTCGATAGCAGGTGGTGAACAGTTTTCCCTTCGTGGTCTCCAAGTCGCGCGTTCATATTTCATCGTGGTGATCGATGGAGCCTAAAATCTCGAATCACGAGTACGTTTCGTATGACTCGCGAGTTCGCGCGTTTGCGTATCGATTCTAATGCGCGCAGAAGAAAGAAAGGGAGAAAGAAAGAAAGAAAGAAATAACACGAACCGACACCCGGACACAAGTTCCGAAACACACGGAAATATAATATATTTAACGAAATAAATATATTCGTATGATAAAATGAAATGGAAGAAAATAAAGCGGACCGAAATTAAAGGGTGGGAAAGAGAGACAGAGATTATGCCCAAAGAAAAATGCACCATGCCCTACCGTTGTACTTCTCGGGATGTTCTTCGTTGCAGGTATCGAGATCTCCTTTCTCAAATCGGTTCCTCTTCCCCGTGTCTCTCCTTTCGATTGTCCGCGTGTCGCCTTCGACTTTTCTTCCGGTATTTTTTCCTCTTTTCGACTCGCCTCCTCTTTCATACTTTTCCCTCGCTCTCTCGGTAACTTTTCTGCGGATACATTTTGCGCTTCTTTCACCTTTGTCCGTTCTACCTCTGTATTCGCTGCCGCCGTTATCGTTGTTTTCGTGCTTGCGGTCGCCCCCGCACCCGTCTGCGCCACCGTCTCCAACGTGCTAGGCTCCAAAGTCGTTTCTACGATCCAGATTTCCCCGTAATCCGTCGAACTGGGATGGGTAGCCGTCGCTTCTTCGGTGGAAATTTTCGCAGACGATACATACTGCGCGAATACGTAGACGAAGAACAAAGCAAAACGGAGAGACCATCTTTTGCGTCGGCAATCATTACGTGATTGGTCCCTTCTCATTATCCTCGCCTGGAACATATTGCGAAAAGCAATTTTTATTAAACATATTTCTATATTGTCTAATTTTATTGTCCATAGAACTGTGTACCAGAAGTAGCTAATGCACACTACTAATTGTAAATTTTACATGCTTAATACACACGATACATCTGACCTGAGACATCACCCGCGTCTCGTCGTTGATCGTGCAAACATGACACGAACCAAGGGCAATTACACATACATACACACAGAAATCCAACAGGCTAGTTTTACGAAAAGTACACGCATCTGTACACGTATGCACGTATTTGGTAATTCCAGCTGTTTCGGTACGAGTACAGTTTCCTTCGAGAGTTTAATCGACGGTAGGTAGTCGATTACAATACACGTATTTTTGCCGCATCTTTTCTGTTCCAGCGAGTGCTTCTTTTTTACATTATTTAGATTTTATCGATTCGATTACCGAATGCGTCATATTCGTTAACCAGACATTAAACAGGTCCGTTTAAAAACCGAAAATAACGTTATTATCGAATACTTAACCCAGACTACAAAAATGTGTAAAAAAATTCGCAAGTGCTCGTAAAAATTGAGTCGGTCGCGAATGTGACCCAGTTCGGTGGTTGTAGCGATCATTAAACGATACGGGTATGAGTCACGTAGAAAAGTACGAAGCTCGAAGTTCGGCTGACCCGTTTTACGGGAACTTTACAATCTTATACGCCCCCCCTGTGTTCGTTCTTACGAATCGTGTTCGCGCGTATGCACACAAGCACAGAACAACAAGCGACCACAAACGCTTGAACAATTCCTCCGACAATTTGGTACTTGCTCGTTCGACAGTGGGTCATCGCGTTGCAACCGGTTTCGTTCGGATAGCTTGGTCACTGTCCACGTAGTCGCGTAGGACGGTTCAATAGTAATTCGGACAGTTTTTGAAAACGATGCGATGGATGAACGCGTCACACATGGATTATTGATTTGCATAAAAGCTGCTGCGGATTACGATGCGTTCACGGCGTGTTCGCGTTTGTGTTCGTATGGAGTTGCGTAGGAGGCGACGTTTTCTTGGTTACGTAGCACCTATTTTAGATATACGTCGTATAGCTGCGGTGTTTAACGAACAACCCACGGAATTGATCAACGACGCACGCGACTCAATGCAACCTCTGCTTTTACCTCAACTTACCGTCTTCGTTATCGCCATCCTAACTCCGATATTCTAGCTCAGTGAGACAGTAAAATTCTTCGCGCTTTCGACGTTTTCACATCACTTTTCTTTCCTCCTCTTTACTCGGTGTCGCGATCTTCCTCCTCCCTGCTCTTCCTGTTCACCTTCTTCCGTTTTCCCTCTGTGTCGATCTCCTTAGTTCGCTTTATCATCCACTCTCTTCTCCCTCTTATTCTTATGCTTATACTACACGTCAACTTGACACGAATACCGATCGAATGTGCTGCCGGGCACGAATTTCCTTTCAAAATTTTCAACCAACGAGACGTCGTTTGTCGTTCGTCCTCTCGACAGTCTCGACCACAGAAATGATATTCGGTGCGCTTACGCACTGACCACGAACGAAGCTGCTTCTCCTCGTCAACCCTCCAACCACCCCCGTCTTCTTGATCCACTCTTCTCTTTCTATTGCTCGTTCTCCACCCCCTAACAACGCATGCATACGCGTGCGCCGCCTGGCACTCACAGGATGTCGTGACGTCTGGCAGCCGCGCGTAACCTTTTGAATCGTAAAAGCCGATAGACAGAAAGGAACAGAGATGTACAAGCGGAAACGAATTAAATGAAAAAATTATGCTATAATTAGCAAACAAGAAAAACAAGATTGTAAACAGAAACGGAATATATTAAATATATATATATATATATCTATTCGCGAACTATGATTTACACCGTGCCATTTGCCTCCATTGTTCCAAATTTCTTCATCGTACATCGCTTTCGAATGATTCGCGTTCAATTTTTAAATCGATTCCGAAAAACGCTTCCTACCTTTTCTCCTCTTCCTTGTTAAACTCGCTCATTATACATCTGCGCTTCTGACCAAGTTCACTGCCGTTCCCCTCAAACAGTCTCTTATATCTTCACGCGACTCATAATAATTCAACGGCTGTTTACAACTTCGAATTGAATCGATCTTTTATACATGGAAATACGTTTCCCTACCGATTTCCCCAATTATCGCCGCCCGTCGGTCCGGATATTGCAATCCGATTCCCATAAGCCGTAACGTATTCGCGACATATTTACGTCGTGTTACAAACGCCGACAGCCCGATGCATATACACTATTAAATGAAAAGAAAAATTAAACCTTTATTTCAACCTAGACCCGACACAAATACAATATTTTTAGGAATTTCGTCTTATCGAGGAATGTCACATCAACCATTTTTACCTACAATTTCTGCAACGTGACACAAAAGAGGCACACTTTTCCTATTATCTTCACACAGATGTACATACACAACGAGGACGAGCATATTCAATGTAGCGAGATTGGCTACAAAAAATAAAGGAGCTTCATCGAGTCAACGAAATCGAGCAATTCTGTTGCTGCTGCTATTTTCTATTCGTCGTTCAACAATTTTCGATTTTATTCGCATGGAGAAACAATGTTCGCAAGAAACGTCGAGACGTTACAAGTTCACTAAAACTAAATCATTAAGTCTGCTTCGGTTATTTAACGTTGTAACGTGTTTACATCTTTATTGCGATAAAAAGCACAACGTTCCAACAGAGTTTACGTACAGTGTTTATAAATATCCTGCGACTCGTACAAATTTCAAACTTAAGAAACGTACACCGAACGCTGGCGTTATTAACTCGGGTTCTGATGAAATTTCACGGAATAACCGCCACTGTTTGGATCTTTTTGTAACTCGAAATTATTCGTGGAAAGTCCAAACGGTTTTAGCACCATATTTCCTAAATCTTTCAATTTCCCCAACATTTCAGTTTTCAACTTTTCATTTCTTTCCTCTATCAGTCGAGGTAATCTCTGCAAATATAGTATCGTTTTAACGCACAATCCTGGAAACTGTTTCGCGTATATACTTAGATATATAAACATTTCTGCAGCTTCATACTTACGCAAACCTCGTGATATGCCTCTGTATGAGTGGGATCCAAAGAATAAACCTTTTTAAAATCCTCCAAGGCTTCGTCGAGCTTTTCAACTTCCTCGTACAATTGTCCTCTCCTAACCAGAGCTTTCACATAACCTGGATTTAATTCTATGGCTTTTGTACAATCCAATATCGCGGATTCTTTCTCCTACGCAAACAATATTCTCCAAGTTATATCTCAAGTATACCGACATAGTTCTACTTTATTCTTAAATAAGCAAGTAACAATATTGTTCTTGTAACAATGTTACCAAACATTTTAGCTTTGCTGCTGCTCTGTTCGCATACAGAATAGATCTCTCTTTGCTATATGCTAATGGACATGTTTGTATTCCCCGTGTGTACATCGATATTGCTTCTATATACTCGCCACTTTTGAACAGATCATTACCATTGTTTTTCAACATCTCTGCTTCGTGTCTGAGAGTCTGCAACAGGCAAAACTTAATTTAGTTACAATAGTCAACTATTACAATGTCACTTAATCTAATCGAAGGAAGAAACATGTAACAAACTTCTTTTTCGTTTTCAGAGAGACCGATTTCTCTGTCTTTCAATAATTCCTCGTCAACGAAATCTCTCGGGGGATCCGGTGGTTCCTGTGAATCTTGTATATGTGTTTCCACACGTTCACAGGTTTCCTTCGGTAGACTGTCGTTTCGCGCGTTCAACTTCGAACTGTCCTTACCAGACACAGAGTTTTCATCCGCCCTTATACAAGAACTTTCCAGATCCTTCGTAAGCTCCTCTATAATCTCCTCGTTACTTTTCAAATCAAGTTCGGAAGTACTGTCCATCGCAATTTTTCTTTAACTTTCCCTGGTTATGTAAATACGTGCTCGATTCGGTAAGTTTTCGCACCTTTCTATTTATTTACTGTAGAAATGAAGTGACCAGTTAGCGAGGTTATAACCACGGTGACGCGCGTACCCAGCAGCAGACGAACCAACTTATCTGTCACTTAGTCACTTTCAACGTGTGCGCGGTTCGCAATCATCATTCAAACTGCAATTGTTTGCAACGGATTGCCACTGACTTTTGCCATCCAACGAGTCAAATTCAATTTTAACTATTATACATACGTATATACGTATATATGTGTTAAAGCACACAGCATACACTTTCTAAGGCTTAATCGGTTTACGTTTTTTAAGCTTCAAATTTTGAACTCTGACAAAGGAAAAGCTAATCGCATAACGCTACGCTTCTAAAGCATAGTCGAAATCAGTCCAAATCAGTCGAAATATTTCTCAACAATCTTTGTCATCTTTGTCACTATTGTCACTCCTTTCATTACGTTCTATAATACCAGACACTATGTAAGTACCAGATCGTACCAGATATACAGATAATACGAATAGCAGCAAGTATTATTCGCGTCGCGATAATGCTCGAATAGTGAATGATAGCGCCATCCGTAGAAAACGCGGCATCACCACGAAAAAATAGTTGGCGCCGAATATTATGTAGTCTTTCTTAACAATTTATATCTTAAAGAATTGCTCCCAATTTGCTCCCTCGGAATATAAAACTGTTCCCATAGCAACGTTTATATTTAATGAGATATTCGCAAATGAAGAAGCAAAAATTTGTTTGCAAAATAGGTAGTAAATGACCCTTTTACACAAATATTATAGTACCAAAAAATTGCACATGATCTGTTTTATAATAATCAATAGTCAGATACCTCAATAAAAACTTATTAACAAGGAGCAATTGAAATAATGTTGTTTCATAGAGGTTAGGTATTTCGTCATATGGTAGACGCTCGTTTATTGCAGCCTTCGGGACTGTAGAGGGCCAGAATTCCAGAAATGTTACGATAAGCGAGCTCCAATCACCCGCGCGCTTTCCCAACCACTCAATAGTGCAGAACCCCAAACTTAGTAAAATTATTTATGCCTGTATTACCGCAGCCCCTTATGGAGCGGCAACCCTGACTGTAAAAGAGTTTGATCGCATTTACACCTCTGAAAGGGCATCATTTTTCCTCGTCACGCATTAAATTCGAAGTTTTAAGAACGTAGATTAGTTCTTTCTGGCGGCTGGGAACCAGTAAGTACAAGAACATTGTTAAAATCGCATTTATTTGCAACGGTCGACACTGTATCCCGTGACGCGTACCCCGGCTAGTTCACTTTGGACAGCTCGTACACCGTTATACGGACAGCTTTCGTTTAGCCGAAGCACTCAATTTGTAGCTAAAAATACGTAGATTAATCCACTGTTATTGATAATAACAATAAGCGACCAGAACATTGTTAAAATTGCAATTTAATTGCAACGGTTGACACTGTATCTCGTCATGTGTACCCCGGTTAGTTCACTTTGGACAACCCTTACACCGTTATACGGATAGCTTTCGTTTAGATAAAGCACTTGATTCGTAGCTGAAAGAACGAAGATTAATCCCCTGCCATTGACAATAACAATAAACGACCGGAACACTGTTGAAATAGCATTTAAACGCGGAATACCACTATTTTTTCGACCGGTGGCGCCAACCGTGGCAATTCGCTCAAACTGCTAGCCAAATTATACCGACAGGTGAGTGAGAATTCCGAGTGATGGAAAAATGCGAATATCTCAGTAATTAAGCGCTTAAAATGAACGTCGTTAGTCTCAGATTGTTCCTCAGGACTTATTGCATGGACCCCATGGTGCAGAACCTCAGAATTAGTAAAATTATTTATGCCTGTATTACCGCGCAGCCCCTTATGGAGCGGCAACCCTAATTGCAACAGAGTTCGATCGCATTTACACCGCTGAACTACTACCCAGTAGTACGTCCTAAGTACTATTGTACGTTCTTCAGACTTTGAATTGAATATTCGTGTTTCTCAACAACTTATATCTTAAAAAATTGCTTCCAATTTTTCATATTCGCAAATGAAAAAGCAAAAATTTGTCGTTTGCGCAATAGATACATAGTCAATGGTCTTTTTACACAAATATGGTACCAATTACCGAAGGAACAATGATCGCAAATTCTTCTGTTCGATGAATAATAAACGTATTGACACAATTTCCATCTATCCACCTTTCGCAATATCTTACAACTAACTTAGATATCTAAATATTCTTATACCAACGATACGTAAATCCCACGGCGGTTGACTTCTTTCTTGAGTCTACCTGAGAGTACAATAAATCAAAGTAGAACACAGTTAATTAATATAAATGAAAATAAAACACAATTAATTAGAATATATCAAAGTAAAATACAATTAATTAAAATAAATTAAAATGAAACACAGGTAATTAAAATAAATGAAAATATAACACAGTTAATTAAAATAAATTAAAATAAAACAGAAGGAATTAAAGTAAATTAAAATAAAACACAATTAATTAAAATAAATCAAAATAAAACACAATTAATTAAAATAAATCAAAATGAAACACAGTTAATTAAAATAAATGAAAAAAAAATCCCAATTCATTAAAATAAATCAAAATAAATCACATATAATTAAAATTAGCTAAAAAAAAAGGATGTGCAAATCAATTCGTCGAGTTCGGATAAGGGAGGTTGTCATGTAAAACCCCCCAATGAGCGCCAATAGTCGGTGATGCTAAATAAAGAAGATTAGGATTTATTAATCGAGTTCGGATAAGAGAGGGAGGACTCGTTAGGCACCACTGATCACCAAGCTGTATTGGGAGAAAAAAAAAATCCAACCTGTTAGTCGGGTTCGGATAATAGAGAGGACCCCTTGAATCCCCTTGACCAGTGTCCAGGAGTGTCCACCAGTGGTCGGCAGAGATGGGAAGACCTCCACGAGGTCCGCGAACGCGAGTGAACTGAGGTTTCTTCGTTGCGCGCTCGTATTTATGGGCTCACGGCGATCGCGAGTTTGCGCGCACGAATGCGCGGACAAGTGCGCGAAGGTTGAACGCACTGGAAACTCGAGCGCGCCATAAATTATTTCTCGATTAATTTATTATTTCTAACAAGGTAATTGTTATAACAATTACCTCTCCGAGGAACATTGTTAAACATTCTGTCAGCTGTCTTATAATGCAAATTGTTATTGTTTATAACAAATATAAATCGAAATATACGGAAACTTTCAAGATACCGACCGTGTAATGAACTTTCACGTGGAATAAATTTTATTTTATTGCAAATTATTAAACAACAACTATGTCTTAATGTTTATGGCGATTGTTAGCTAAATATTATTTTATTTAAATGCGCCTTGGTAGAGTTTTATGCGAGAATATTGTAAAAATTTGTAGAACAGTAAGAATTCTTTGATCGACGTTTGAATGATATTGTTCTTGACAATGACTGTTACAGTTTTAGGAACAGTATTTTCGGTTTACTCGATTCACGTGAAATTATATTAATTTATATTAATTTTCGGTACTGTAATATTTATAACAATCACATCTTCAGATTCTATTTTCACGAGGCATACGTAGGGGAGACAAATGGTGAAGAAATGAAACACGGCAACCGTGTGTGTCGACCTATCCTTTTTGCGTTTATAACCCACCCCAAGTGTTTATCCGGAAAATACTGCCTGCACGAATTTCTCTGTGCAATAAAAATGTTTAAATGGAAATATCGGTTCAACTATGCGTAGGTAGAATAGTTAAAAAAATATTCTATGCCAAAGTATTACAGAATAATTCTGAACTTTATGGATATATTCTATTCATTCTTCGTACGTACTTATATTAATATATTCTACTAAAGACATTCGTCGTCAGACTTGCCAGCGTGTTCGTCCATTTTCTCGAATCACATCTCTAATCGCGTCCCGAATTTTGTAAATATTTAGAAAATCTTTGCAAATA